TATTAACTTCTGTATAACACAAATGAGTCAAGACAGCTTTTAAGCACAAAACAGAACTCTCCGCGCCTTTCACACTTTGATGGTCGCGTGGACTCCGACTGAAGAAACTCTAAAACTCTGAGAATAATCCAACATCAAAGCAAACGAGTTAGAAGCTCAACTTTTTCATGTATTTGATATCTGGTTATACTTTAATTATGCTGCAAGTTCTTTGCTTTAAGTTCTCACGTTAGCTGACTGAGCTGTGGACCCTCCGCCGCCTTCGATCGAGACTTCACACAACCGTTTCTCTTTTGACGGATTCTGATCACCTTTTAAACTCAAAACTACCTTTAATTGTTAGAAAGATGCTATACACAATTACCGTTGGACTTGGAAACGCTTCTCGACGCGGACGCTTAACTCGAAATCTCGACAAGGACAAAGCTCGTGTCAAAGACGCCGATCCCAAAAGTCCTCGCGCGCGTGTCTTTTTGCTGGCCGCCCATGACCATTTGCGGGAAAAACGTTGATACCTTGCGGCCGTGCAAGCGATCAAATCGAGATTTTTTCTGGTTATGATCTACCGAAAATACCTACATTCTCTCTTCTCAAGTCTTCCTCTATATTACGTGGGGAGTCCTAAGGTGCCTCCTCGGGTTTTTGGCCCTCTGGGGCCAAAAAACCCTGCGGGGGCAATAACTTGGCTGAAGAAAAAGGAGTTTGTAAACTACACAAATTATAATTATCAAATTATAGCATAAAAAAGATGAAAACCTAACCAAATCGTTGTCACTGTGAACATACTGCCTCTTACATACTGAACGTGAATGATGCGGGTTGAAGCTGAATGAGAAATATAATAATACAGTAGGTCCTAAGCGTCATACTCATAGTTGGCACACATATTGACAGATATGCGTTATGGAATGAAGCAAAGCAATTCTTCTTCTCGAGGGTTTTTACGAAGTTTAGCGTGGAAGAGGCGCAAAACATTTTGTTCTCACATCGCACTAAAATTATAAATCGGGAAAGAAAGGCGAAATGAAAATTGAAACATTGCTGCATTATACGCTAACTGGTGTCGTTGCTTAAAATGGTCAGCTACATATCTTGGCATGCCATTCGAGAGGAAAGTGTTTCCAATAGGGGTGAATTTTTTCCCTCTTTCGGCCTTCCAATGTTCCTTACCTCTGCTACCTGGTCGATTGATTTAAGTTCATTTTAGAGAGTTTATCAGCCCCTAATCTCCATCCTAAGGATCGGTGAAATATTCAGTGTCAAACACATACCTCGAGGAAACTTTCACCAGGCATCAGTTACCTTCCAAACGGCATCGGAAACCTTGATAGAAGTATGTAAAATGAAAAAGCAAGAGAAAGTCGAAATTAAGCTTGAATTTTTCATTATCCTGCTTTCAGAGATGAAATTTCACATCAGAAGGTATATGTGAATTTCAATAATTTTGGAATCATTTACTTACACATATCCTTGGGATGTCGCAGAAAAAATTCGTTGTTCTACTATGTTAATGGCAGATGTGACGTATTAATACGGAAAATTTCCTTTCATTTCCTTGCATTAGCTAGGAAGTAGGAGTTGTCGAGACACAAAGGATTGTAAATGCATCCGGCCGTTTGTTTCATCATTAGCCGTATATTTTACATGTTAATTAATTAGAGAGTCTCAAAGGGGTGATGGCTTTTACGGTCAAAGGTTAGCATTTTGGCCAATTTACAGCTATCGATTAATATAACAGGGTAATTTAGTATTATCAACTAAGTTGATAAAGTAAATTGGCCACCGTTAAGAGTTTAAAAGCTGACGTTCTGAACGTCAGTCCTTCGTCATTCGCTGTGATGAAGGGCTAACGCTCGAAACGTCAGCTTTGAAACTCTGGCGAAGGTCAATTTACGTTATCAACTCGGTTGACAATAACAAATTACCCTGTTATACTCTCCCACCAATGTAGCAGCACAGTTTCTTCAGAAACTTACCCCCTTTGTCGGTTGATATAGTTCCATTACTGTCAATACAAATATCCTTTACGGTTAACTTTTTTTACGACTCACGGTTAAAATTTGCCAATTTTTATATCCAACGGCTAAATTTTTTAGCCGTTTACTGCTAACAGTTAACTCCATGGAGATCAAAAATTAATTAATTTATCACGTACTGGGCAGAATTACTGAGCGACACTGAGGGCATTTTTTTTATCACGAGGGCACTCTTGGTAATCAAGAGAATGTATGGTAGCTTGATCCTGGTTGACATTTGCTTAGCAGCAGAAGGTTTAGTTGAGATATGCTGATGAAAAGTTGTTTTTTTCAGATAACGGCTGCCCCTGTTAGAGCCAGCGAGTAATATTATGGGTACGAATTCATGCAAAGAAGTGATAATAATAAAAGAAAAGGAGAACTGACATCTAGACCAGAATGTTTTAACAATGGGAGAAAAGATTAAGTCAGTCCTCTTCGTGCTTCTATGCACGGAGGGCCTTGACCAAACAACGCCTATCATTTCTGCCAGTTGCCATTCGGCAAAATCGTCAACTCCCCCAAGTTGATTTCGCCTCGACGAATTTGGCTAAAACTCGTCGAAATCGTCAAATCCGCCGACCTGATTTCGCTTTGTCAAATTTGACTGAGGGTCGTCAAAATCGTCAAATCCATCAACCTGATTTGGCTTTCATGAATTTGACTAAATCGTTAAGTCCGCCAAATCGAATTTGACAAATAATCGCCAAAATCGTAAAATCCATGAACATTCACTCGGTTTGAAGAAATTTCATAAAATGTATAATTTCGTTACTACGTGCATTTCTGGATATAAGTGGTCAAGTTGGCCCATGTCCATCCTCTGTCTCTCATTTCTCTTTCTATGGTTCTCCTCCAGGTTTCCTTAGGCGGCCCCTCTTTCATCCACCTTCGCAAATCCATCGGATGGCTATTCTGGGACGATCCAACTTTTTTTCTTCTCTAAACCTGCTTCGTGACGGGTTGTATACCCGTTCTTCGGTGCAGCTCATCGTCGGAGATAATGGCAGGCCAAAATTGAAACATGCAGAGAATATTCCGCATGCTTCTGTTCTGGTAGCTCTCTGGCGTTTGGCAGATGGTCTTCGAGACCTTCCATTATTTTGCTTTTTGTTTTTGTACTTTGCATTTTTGGAAGAGTTACTTACTCTGCCATTAATAGCCAAGGTGTAGAGATTACGGTACATCTTTGTTAAACGAGAAGGCCAGAGTGACTGACTCCCTACAGTTTTCATTGAAATACAACCATTCTTTTAATTTATTTTAAGACCCTGAGTGTTGAACCAGTTTGGGGACTGTGGCTAGAACCCTCGCTCCAGGCAGCCGGGTGCTTCTTCAAACGATCCAACCACACAACATGGAGGTTCACCAGATGAATACAATGTAAACATTTGACCTTCAAGACCCAGTATTGGCCAGCATGCATTGTGCGCCTCGGTTTTTGTTATGATTTTCACGAGAGCAAGGCTTGTTTTGTTTTCTCGGAGTTGGTGGAATAATCAACATCGAGTTAAAACTGGGTCTTTGAAAATATGTTTATTATTTTAAGTTAAAAGGACAAATAAAACTCATCTCTCATTAGGTCGTTTTGACTAGAAAGGAACTTTAGTGAAGTACCTCCTGATACTACATCGTTACGAGATTTATCTGTTAATCTTTTGACCGAATTATTAACTATAGCGAAAAATAAATTTCGTTTAATGACCATCATTAAATACATTCAAGGTATGATTTATACGAAGTACACTTCAATAATTTTCTCCTAATTTCCTTGGAAGACTTCTTTTGGTTGAATGTCGATCTCCTCTTTCTGGACATAATTCGATCACAGAATGGCACAGGTTATGAAAATCCCTTTTGGACTGAAGTTCCTCCTGCAATGAATTCAAAGACGATGAGCTCAACTAAATGATAATAATTTATTCTATCACTGATTTTAAAATACCCTCTCAGGCGGCTTTCATTTTTACCCGGCAACCGTCGGCCGAACGAGTTTAGTAGACATCCGTTTATATGATAAATCTCAACCGGAATTCCGTGCTCTACTTTCTGCCCGATTATTGTTCCGGAAATTACCGCTCCCGTTTAAGAGGATATACGCAGATGTGGAAAATTTCTCATCATTAAAAAAATTTCACGTCGGTCACCCAAGTGCAAAAGCACGAACCTTCATGTCTTCTTTCCTTAACAGGGACACAGTTTTCATCTGGTAAACTTTCCAGCCCAGTTCAGTTTTTATTTGGAATCCTTCTCCTTATTGGTGATCGAAATATAAAAAATGTATTCGCAGAAAACAAGTCAGTGCAGTACATCATAGTATCGGAATAACCATGGCGGCTATCTCAAATTTTGTTAGCTTCTCAAATTTAAAATTACAAATTGGTTGGTGGCAGCACCTGGGTGGAATAAACTTAGTGGGACTTGCAAATACATGTTGTAACTCTCCCGTGCAAGTTGACAATTTATCGAGTTTTATCGTTAACGGCCAGAAGAAGGGTCAGTTCTTTTTTTTTAATTGTGATTTTAGACTCAGCTTACTTTCAAGTGTCCAACTCGCCGCAGATGTGTTCATCTGATCACGATGCTAAAGCGAGCACTTAGCTGTTTTTATTCATTGTTTTCGCCGGAACAATTTCCATCACGACTTTTCATCTTACTCAAGCCTGCCAATCACATCGACATATTACTTTCGTAACAATCACAATGACAAGTAAGAAGTGTGATCTCCTTGCAAAGGTGGATTCTCCTTGAGAATCAGTTTTTTTTACGTGCTAATTTTGTTTTAATCAAAAATTCGTACGCTGAAATTTACTAGCTTCTCAACGAAATCCGACCGGCTATCTTGATCTTTTTCAAGATAGGAGTATCACTTTTAGATGGAGGACATGGATTGAGCAAAGAAAAATAAGATACATGACAAATGATGAATAAGATAGTAGAAAATTATATATGACTTAGTTATACATCATGTGCACAAATGTAAAACTTGTTACCTTGAGCAGTCTTCTTCCAACCTGGTTTCCTACAAAAGCCTCGGAGAGGCACAAGGAACACAACAAAACATAGACCACACCAATGATTTTATAACCCATTCTTTACAGTTTCTATCGCGTGTTTTTAAATTTTTCTACTGCTTCGCCACCTCTTCCAGGCTTATCTTTATTTCCGTACAACTTCTTAAGCCTTTCTCAGTATTTATATAAGTTTTGCCTTTGAAAATTTATGTCGTTATGTGTAATGGAGTGGGTTTCGTTGTTGATAATTACTTAGACTAAATTTTGGAAGCCACATTACGAATCTATAATTGCGCCGTCTTAACAAATGGTGATTCAATTTGAGGCGTTATTGTGTAAAGCGGCTGATTAATGGGACACCTACACCCACTTTGATTATGAAGACACCTATCATATGATGTTGAAAGTGTGGGTACTGTGTATGGGTTAATCCTCGTACGCACCAAGTTCTTCAGACAGTTTATTTTCCTACGCAGGTGAAAATGGCGAACCGTGGGTAATATAAATGTTCTTGCGCAGAGCTAAACATCTTTTCAGGTTAACAGTATTGACGCGATCTTTCAAGTTAGAATGATGTCGCTACATTAAAAATGAGATAATCAAACGATTTTTTAAGACCCTTTAGTATTCAATGCAATTCGTCGGTCTGTAAGTTTTTCCATTCAGTCCTATGTGTTCATTGCGATAGAAAAATTAAGCATGAGATATTGCGATCGCAAACAATAAGGTCCACCACTTTGACCATATATCAACGAAGCCGATGTTTTAGAACTTAGATGTCGTTACTGCGTGTGTGATTTGAAATGACAATAAACGTGTCAAATGATTAGGAGGGCAGAAGTAATTTCATAATAAAAAAATTTCCTAAACGGATCTCGAGCGGAAGATAAACAAATTCTTCAATATCATGGTAAAGAAGTGACATTTGAGAACTCAAAATTGAACGATGAAACTCGTCTAATCGAATAAAGGAAACCGCATCTTGGCCAGAGATGTGGTGTTTATTGTTAACAATCGACGAAACTATTATGTGAAAGTAATTAAGTAACTCTGGAGATGATGGAAGTAAGAGTAGGTTCAAATGATCCTCTCAGCTCTCAATCTGGACAATAACTCGCCATTTCTTTAAAATGCTCGGTTCCTTTGAATTATTTCGTCATGCAATTAAAAATTCGCCGGCAAAAGCAAAGCAAAAAATTCGGTGGAGAAGCACTTACAAGACCGCTCTTGAACTTTTAAGAAAAGCGGTTAGTTCATGAAAATAATTTTCTATTTACTTTTTTTTCTGAAAATTACCTCAGAGCGGTTTATTTGTAGTTACTTTTATTATGGTGGTTCGAAGGGTTATTATAGACAGCTGAAAAGAAACAAAGAAAAACAGCCTGACTTTGTTTATTTTCTTTCTCTTTGAGCTTGACTAAAACAGAAGAAAACAAGATGGTCTAAGATCAAAAGAGAAAAATTTCTATCCTTTCTGATAATCCAGCCGATTAACTCACAAGTTCAACAGCTCTATATTTTGCTCTCTCTGTAAAAATTTTGACAGGTTCAAACTGATTTCTTAAAAAAAAACTATCATTCCATTTTTATCTTCTAAGTTTCTTAATTCTGTAAACGATCCGGAGTGCTTTTTCCTTGAGACGGCCACTCAACATTAAACTTAAGTGGCCAAATTTTTAATTGTCAAACTCATAATATCTTTCGAAGGTTAATTGTGGGTTTTGAAGTTATTCTCAGCCCTCCTCTTTTCAAACAAGAGGCTGGTCGCTTTATCTGAGAAGTTCTTTGGCGGCAAAATAAGTAATATAAAGCACGGACGGAACTTTTTAAAGTACCTCACTTTTCACTCCAGGAGATGCTAATTAGTAAATGTCACATCCCACGAATTTTACCTTATAAAGTCGAGAAGAAAATTTTCAAAGGATATAACATTCTGTCACCAACAGTCTCAACTTCCAGCTTTTGCTATCATAAAGATAAACTTTGAAGATGGCTATTCTTTTTCCCATTAACCATTTCAATGGATTGATTTTACTGATCATGACTGACAAGTTCCTGAAAAACGTAAATGGCGCTAGAAATTGGCAAGAATGCGCCTGCTGGTAAATATTCAAATGTATCATTTTTGGTGGATGAGATCGTTTCATTCAGGAGTTTCATTTTTTTTTTCATTCAGGAGGGTTCAGGACCCTCTTCATTCAGGAGTATGAAATGATGCTTGAGAGATGTTCGTGAATACTGAAAAATACTGAGCCTGGTTGGCGAGCATGATGTTGGGCATACGCTTTAGTGGTGGGGTATCAAAATCCTAAAAGACAACACTGTCCTCATGAAAGCTTTTTATGGTGAAAACAAACTTTTCTTTAAAGCTGCCGGGATGTGAAATTTAGCTTCGTAACTTACTGTATTTTGACCGTCACAGTGGTACTCAATTTACCGACTTAAAGTTATCGTAAATGTTGTTTATGTTTAATTAAGTCTGTGTCAGTTTGCGATTGGTGGCTGTTTGTAATAACCTGAACGTAACCCGTGTATAACAGAGTAATTTAGTATTATCAACTGAGTTGATAACATAAACTGGCTACCGAAAAGAACAACATCTTAGGTCGAAGAGCACTCGTAAACGCAGCTGAGGTGAGGCCTCTTTTCTGTACACATGTACTTACAAAGGTGGCTTCTGTATACATAAACAGGTAGCTTTTGAGCAGTCCGTGTAGCGATAGTAAAAAATGAGTGTGAAGAAGCCTCATTATAAAGAAGGTGCAAATCATTCTTTGACTGTGGGCCATGGGTCAGATTTTTCCTTCGAAGACCCCATGCAAGCTCTTGATTAATTTTTGTTCTCCCGGATTTCATACTTTTCGTAAACTTCCTGTACTTTTATACGTCAACAGACTCGATCTTTATTCATAAGTCCAGCCGATCAAATTCTAATCATGCACGTTTTTGAAAAGCTTCTTTTACAGCTACTTCTTTTTCACCTTGGGGTGATATCATACATCGTTTGCCTCGTTAAATCATTGATATAGTATATGTAATGAGAATTTTCTCATTAACTACTGCGTAATTTATCACAGCCACGTACATTATAAAGAACGTTGGAACTCGCAGAAAACATCAGTTCTAACTAAGGTACTACCTCTTTACGTTCGGTACAAAATTGGTTTTAAGAAAACAGTATGTTTAAGAAGTAAGAGAGGCGAAGTGACAACTCAATAAGAATGCAGGAGAAGGCCCAGATTCGACCTCTCTTTTTTTACTTCTTCTCCTTTTTATTTTTTTCTTTATTTTTGTTGTTGTTGTTGTTGTTTTTGTTTTCTTGTGTTGAGCTAAGATCTCAATATATTCACCGACTGAACGCCTAGAAAAGGTTACTCAAAGGATTATTGGAAGGTCATTCAAAACACTCAAGAACAAAATCAATTGCTATCCACGGATTTCGTTTTTCTTATTTTGTATGTTCTCTAGTAACAGATACTCATCACCACGCGTTTTTGACTAAAGAGGAATTAGCACTTTTTGGTCGATTTCCTCTCTGATTCTTACAGAATACTTAAAAGAATATCCAGCTTTCTTCTTTTATAATAGACTCTAATCATCCAAAAGAGAATTGAAAAGGTGAAAAAGATTGTAATCACAATCAATATTAAAGAGCATGGCATGTAGAAGATCTATGAAGACTGTTATACGGAGAAAAAATTCAGTTACTTTTTTCCTTTTTTTGTGAGTGAATGTTTATTTGTATTAGAAAATATCCCCGCTATTGACAGCCTTCGAAAAAATGGATATGAATAAACTTTTATTTTCAAAACTTGTGGCGTAAGATACAAAATGGCTCTTTTTAGCCATTCGCACGACAGTCAGAGAAAAACACTTTATGCTCGTAGTTGTCAGTTGAAAGTAACGATCTTGAATCCATCGCTGGTAATAAAAAAATTAAAGTGAAAATACCAGAGAAAAATCAGAATTCGTTCTTTTGTGATGGTTCGTTGTTTCTCTTCTTCTTTTTTTCTTTCTGATCGGCGGATGTTTTAATTATCAGATGTTCCAAACAGAACGAGGTGAACACAAAGGCAAAGAAAGCCTTTTAAATACCCAATTCAATTACTACCTTGTACTAATTTCTATTTCAGAAGTCTCCCATGGTGAGCAGCGGAAATTAATTCGACGTAGATTGCACACACCGACCCGCGCAATATTCAATTATTCAAGCCTATTTAAACCAGCGCGCAAAGATCTTGAGAAACAATAGCAATTTAAGAAAAAACCCACGCAAAGACATGTTTTTCTACTTATGTAACTCTTACCAAACTCATCTACCATCCATCGCAATGCCGCTTGGTAGAATAAAATGGTTTTTAATTCTTCTTCCTTTTTTATTCAATTTACCCATGATGTCGTTTTCATTAATTCAAGAGCACAAAGAATATAAAAAAAGAAATTTTCCTCTTGTCAAGGAAATAGTTACTCATGCAAACTGACAAAAAAGATCAAAAGATTTTTTAAAAAACTCAAAAACCGCTTGACTATCGAACAATTCTAAGGGTGTTGCATCAACAAGTGATTCCTGTCCTCTTATATCAGAATATCGTCGATGCGTTCATCAGCGAACTTTGTATGAATTATAAATGATTTCTCATCGCAAAATAAACCTACGCTCAGCCTCGTTAAAAGTGTCAAATTCTTTTAAAAGTCAATACAGAGTATGGCCAGTTACTTATAACGATCATGAGTGATTACCATTCAGCTAAGCAGTTCAAAAATTAGTCAAAGAAAATAATTCGTTGTGTTTGTTCTTTTATGTTTCTTTGCCACTTTCATGACCAGATGTCTGCTCAATCTTTATGGGTCCGGAACAATTTCGCATAGGACATAAATAAATTGTCTTGATTGCTTTGCAGTTCTTGGATATATAAGGCCGACGGAGATGGTTCGTGTGTCTCTAATTTCTCTTTCACATGCAACTTCGCTTGTAACAAGTAGAGAATATTTAGCAGCACCATGCCGTCTGGAAGACTCACATCTGCGTTGCTTTGTTGTGTTCTCATATCTTCCGTTCTCGTTTTCTCTGAGGCATTTTTCATCAACAAAGTTGGTAAAGAGCTACAAACTTAAAGGTAAATATTGAATATG